ACATATTTTCCCCAAAATAATTGGCAGAGAAGGGTTTAAACGTTAACACAAGTAACACAGTTTTATGGCTCCTCCTGGTGCTGGTTCATTAAAGTGTCTCAACTTTAACTGGAGAATGAGTTGGAAATGGGATATACTCATCTGGCTGAAACTAGATAAATTAGGCCAAAAGCAAGTAAGCTTAAACCAAACCTTTATCTCGGAGAACAAGAACAGTGTTAGCAGAAGCAAGTGAAGAAGACAAAAAAAAAAAAACAAAAAAAAAAACAAAGAAAAACAACATCTCTATATCACTCGACAAACTTTGTTTTTACCAGAGAAAATTACAAGCAGTTGACCACATTTAATCTTTTGTACAATTTATGACAATTTTTAAGTGATAGCAAACTTGGTACTTTTTATTTAAAGGTAGAAAATATTTTTAGATTGTAAGAATTTTGAGATAATAATGATTTATTAATACAAGTCCTTAATTAACCCATAGCTGGGGGGAGAAGAGGTGGACTCATAACTTTCACAAGGGTATTTGCATGTAAGTGAATATAACGGACACAGATGGAATTGGAACTTGCCTCTCCAATTAACAATTTCAAGTTATTATCCATTAACAGGAGTAGGTCGGTTCATAATCCTCCTCAGTCTTTTCAACAGGGGTAGAGGTTCATCCCTTGTTTCCTCTTTATGATTGGATTTATGACATCTCTGCTTGAAATTTGAAATTTTATTCAGTAATTATTATTATTTTTTCCTCTTCCAATAGGAGTAGATAGGTTGGCCTATTGTCTGGTTCACACTCCTCCCCAGTCTTTTAAACAGGGGTAGAGGTTCATCCCTTGTTTTACTGTTTGGCAGTGGGTTTCCAGTTTCTTATAAAAGTCTACCTCAACTCTAAACTCCTGACGTCTCCACTTGAACTCTGAAATTTTATTCACTAATTAAATCTTGACCTCTTCAAGTCCAGAAGTAACTGTCTGCCTTTCCTGAAATAGCCCCAAGAACTTCATTTCTTGCTCTTTCTTACATTAATACAACTCCACACTGCAACACTCTACCTTGAGTGGCCTTTGGGCCTTGTATTGGTTGAGCATTAAAAAAAAAAAAAATGACAGCACCTGCCCATCCAAGTTGACAGCACCTGATAGTCCCAAGCAGTCATCCATCTAAGTACTGACTATGCTTTGATATTGCATAATTTCAGTGAACATACAGAAACCAGTGATGTAAATTATTGATGAAGTAATCCTGATCGACAAAAAAAATCAATTGCAAAATGTGTTTCTAACTATACTCTCAAGGTTTGGTACAGTTGTAGCAATTGCAATAGTATGACTGATGCTGCAAACCTGTTAGCCATGGAGGAGAGTGATAAGAAATTTAATTTTATTCATTTATACCTTTTCAAATACCCTTGGGGAAAAGTAGAAATCCAGCTTACCCAAAACCCCACCCAACCACCAGTTATGAGTAAAATAGTAGGGCACACTGGGCTCTCTAGCCATGGTTGGTAATCAGGAGAAGGACAAGTCTGAATTCAAACTGTATGCGTCCCTGAGATCAAATCACAGATGGGAAAGTTTCAAGGTGTTTTATTTGTGATTCATGTTTACATTAGACCTGTCTGCACTTATACGAAAACGGTGGCTCGAAAGAAGATGACAGTTTTCAACATCAATTGTCATAGGAGAGATGAATAATGCAACAAAAGAAACCAAATTACAGACATTTTGGGATTCTGGATACTTGTTGTTCACCTACTTTTGGAGAATTATCCGACATCTTTCAGTAATTTCTGATGTTCACATATATTACCAAAGCATCTTTATATTCTGCTTTTACCTTTGGAGACAGTAATATTAGGTTGTTCAGAAAATTAAAGTCATTGCTATTTCATTTTCTTTATTACGTGAATTGGAGAGGCAAGTTCCAATTCCATCTGTGTTCATTATATATATATATATATATATATATGCATGAATGGCTATGCCTGCCTCTGTCAAAAATAATATTTTGCTTTAATGTTCCAATGTAACCAGATTCACACTAACATATAAGTGAATAAACAAGAGATGTTTTTTTTAAATCATTTCACCTCTAACAAGGCAACAAAGCCACTAAGATGCAGAGGTTTACTGAGTGTAAAAGAATATAAGAAAAACACTATTATGGAGAGAGAACAATAAAAGCACAGAAATTAAGAAGATAGAAGATAAATGATTATCATTGCATTTTAATTTTTGAAGATCAAAGTTGACTGAAAACAAGAAACCAGAAGAAAGTTGCACAAGTGAAATGTGCAATTGAAGAAACTGTTAGCATAGAACTTACAGTTACATCTAGTCTATTCAACTGTAAAATGATGAGACCTTGTTGCCAATCTAGTACTGCATTTCATGAAGTCTATGTACCAAAGAGGAAAGTAATATTTATTTTGTAAAGATACAAAAATGTGGCACAAAGCCAAAAGGGGGAGATGGAGAAGGCAGTTCTTAAACCCAGCAAGCCACAATTACTGCCCTAAACATACCACAATATTCCTTACACCAAAACAATACATTCTTACTTACTATTCTTCCTACATCCACCATAATACCTCATTGTCTCTATGAAGTCGTAACTAGTCTCCATATGTACAATTTTTTGTCTGTAGAGGAGGAGAATATAAACAACAATACCGTACAGGATAGTTCATCAGAACAATTACCATGAAAATGTTTATAGAAAAGTCACAGGGAAGCTACGTTATGGCAGTGGGAAAGCGACTGAAGCTGAGATACCAGGTCAGGACCAATGACATTACTGGTTATTCTTTGGATTTTATCAAGAATTTCTAAATATATAACAGAACCACCAGACAATATGTGGCAGCAATATTAACAGTATGAAGGAATAGTAGACATATACATATGCAAGATAGATTCTGTCAAGAAAGATTGTCTAGTACAACACAGTGAACCAACTTTCCTAGTAGCAGTCCTAAAAATTGATTCAATATAATCTTTCCACTTCATGTCAGCTGAAAATGTTAATCTGAGAAAGTGCAATGTGTCACTCACCTGGAGGTTAGCATCAGCCATGTTGATGGAAGGCAGAGTTTTTCTCAGATGATTAATATAGAGCAGTTCCGTTTTGAAGGCATTAAAATTAACCAGCCATTCTTTGCCCCAGTTAACAACAGAATGCAGGTTATTTTTTAGATTAGCTGTGAATTTGACCTTATCGAACTGATCAGACCTATTATTAAGACATGAGTAAATAGTTGTGTCATCAGCACAGATACAGAGTTGAGAATTGATAGCATCAGAAAGGTCACTGATGAAAATTAGGAACAATATAAGTCCAAGGATAGAGCCCTGGGGGACATCAGCATTAGTGTAAAAAAATCTAGAAGAGTGGCTGTTCAAGACAACTTTCATTTCACGATTCAATAAGAAAGACTGAATCAGTTCAAAAATTTGTCCAGGAATACCATAACCTTTCAACTTGTGAAGAAGACCAATATGCCAAACCCTGTCAAATGCCTTCAAGATGTGCAAAGCAACACCAGCCCAAGCTTCACCATTCTTATCTCAAAGCTTGATAGACAATGATCATTAATATATCAGCAAGTGGAAGCCATATTGCTTATCTGAATGAAAACCCTGCAAGGTGAAATGCTTAACCAGTACAGAGTTGATTAGAGCTGATAGTACTTTACTAAAACAAGATAGAAGGCTAATAAGCCAACAAAAGAACCAGACAGTTTGCCAGAATTCTTAAAGATTTGAATTACAGAAGAGGATTTCTAACAAGCAGGTAAAAAAGAAGCACAAGGCATTTATTGTAGAGTTTAGAAAGGACAGGAGACAGTTCAGGAGCACATTTCTTAAGGACAATTGCAGAGATACCATCAAGTCCACATGCTTTGAGAGGATCCAATTTCAGAGATGATAGCAGAAACCATGAATGGAGTTATATGCATATCACTCGATAGAGACTCAGTTCTAAGTGGTAAGTCAGGCAAAGATACTCCAGATGAGTCAAGAATAGAATTGGAAGAGAATTTACAAGCAAAGCATTCTGCATTATCAGCTGAAGATGTTAACACCTCAAATTGAGTGAAGAGAGGATAGATAGAAGATATACACTTATTTAACACACTGTTAGAGCTGCCAACAGTGATAGGAGCTAAGCTTGTTAAAGGCTATATAGAGCTTCATTCTATCAGCAAACAAAGACTTAGCTTCTTTGAGGACACATTTACAATTATTATGAACAAAAAGGCACCTGTTGTGATCAGAACTATCACCTTGGAACACCTCTAAGCTATAGTGTCTGAGCAGACCGGTGTGAACCAAGAAGAAGATTGTGGTTCCACCTGTTATTTCCAAGAAGGAATAAAATCATTGATGCCAGCTTAAACCCAAGAAGAAACCTCTGTGGCACAATTCTCAATATGAAGGTTAAGAATATCAATCTAAAGGGCAGTTTGAAGATAGTCTTCTAAATGAATCCAAATCAGTATGCTGATAACAGAAAGAAGACTTGTGAATAGAAGTTTCTTTTTTCTGATAGATGTTGCAAAAGAAATATCAACAGATACTACTGCATGATCCAAATTGCTAAGAGAACAGAGTTGTGATACTTGTTTATCAAATAATAATTTGGGCTCTATTTTTAAACTGCATAAATGCACCATGGAATTTCCAGAGACTCAACCTAATCACAGATATTCTGTTACAGTTGTAGTGAATGACACTGAAAAGTTTATATTTGACCTTCTGAAAAGTATTTTATGATGAAAACTAGATGAAGAAACTTATCAATAGTAAAGAAAGACTGGGTAGGAAAATGAAGAGGGGAAAAGAAAAAGGTGGGGGGTGGGGGGGGGATAATCAAAACCAAAAATCTTTATTTACTTGCCTTTATCATAAAAGAAAGAAAATCCCACATAATGCAACTCCAACAATTTTAGCCATCAGTATATTACAAAACTTAAAACTTGCTAAATACCCGCCACCTACCTGAAGGGAAGCAATCACACAGGCTTCGTCTCTTCCAGGAAAATCACTGATGAATTCAACCCTGTTTCGATGTCGTTCAAAGACATGATTGTAGAGAGTGGTGCTGTGTCGTGGGGTCTGTACTAATTGCATAAACCGGTAAAACTTGGGTTTGAAACCTCGCAAGTCCTGTTCGAGGCAGGACAGGTCCAGATTGTGGATGACGATCAGGTAACCTTCAGTTGTGGAGATGACTAATTTGGAGGAATCGGGAGTCAACTTTGATCGCATCAAGCCACGTGTATGGAAAACTCGTTTAAAGTTAGGTTCATTTACAGAATAGCTGGCAAAAAAAGAGAACAGAAAATTTAGTAATATATATATATATATATATATATATATATATAACAAAGTAATTGGTAAAGTGTCAAAGAACACTCTAGCAATGCAAAGTCTGCCAAAGAAGAAAACCTCAAAAAGGAGAAAAGAGAAAGACACATATTTAAACAAAAACCAGCAAAGTTTAACCTTTGTGTCTGCAAATAACAGTGTCAAAAAGGACAGTTTTTCCCCTTTTTTTTTTTTTAAAAAAAACTATTATTACTGTACACTATCTTGACTCCTTTGGCAATGCTTATAGTTTTAAATAGCAATCATTAGAATTTTAATAAAACTCAAACTTAAGAAAGTGAATTTATACATTTTTTTTTGTTCTTGAGAATTTACAACGTTTCTTTACAAGAATAATTTTTTTTATTTTCAAAACTATAAAATAGATAATTAAACTACAAAGCAATGTTTATCATTTACCTATTTATAAAGAAATAAATACAAATATTTTTTATTCATAAATTTATAAATATTAAACTAAATTATAAAAACAGGTGAAGCAACTACAATGAAATCTTTATTATTTATCCTTTTATAAAGTTCAAATCAATTGGCAATCGTAGATCACAATTATAAAAAAATTGGAAAATTAAAACAAAATAATCTGATATAAAATAATTTAAGAAGAAAATGTATAATCTCTGAAAAAAAAAAAAAAAAATCATTTATTTAAATTTTCTTATTGAATGGGTCATAGATAGTTTTATAAAATTCTTTATAAAATGGTTATAAATAGTGCATTGTAGTTTCAAATATTTTGATAGTTTTTAATTTTTGAAATAAATTTCTTTATAAAATCGTAAATAATAAATATTCCACTGTGTTTGATTCACTTATTTTATAATCTTGTAAATAAACATTGCCAAGGGAGTCAGTAATAGTGGTGTCAAAGGAATAACCTTCTTATTGATACACTATTTTTTTTGTGCGCACAAAGGTTAAAAATTTGCCCACATTTCATACAGTAAATGTTGCAACTGTCATGGGGGAGAGGTTGTATTTATTTGCATTTTAACTCATTTATGTCTGTCGTACCATTTTCTGGAGAGTAAGTATTAATGGCTTATAGGTAGAAACATAATTAGTAATCATTTTATATTTAGTAAGAATTTTATAATTACAGCATTTTAAAAATGTGAATTTTAAAATGTGAACCAACTGATACAATGCAATGTTTATCATTTATCAATTTATAAAGCAATAAATAACAATGTTAACCTATAATTACTAGTTTCAGACCGTGGATTTCAAGATCAAGATTATAAAAAACAATTGGGAAATTAAAACAAGAAGTAATCTGAGATATAAAATCTGGGAGGAAAATAGCATAATGTCCAGAAAATCCCATGTTTATTCAATTTTTATTTCATAATTTATTGATTGAGTATTTATATATTTAAAAATATTAAAACGTTATTTCCCTAAAGCTCTGTTTAACCAAGAAGACATATATGCAGAGCATTAGACAAGAGATTTAATATTTAGCACTCAGCATTCAACACACTCAAACCTGATGTGTAAATTATATGAGCTCTCAAAGTCCCACTGTGTTATTTCCTGTGTTATTTGCAATGAAGTCATCATATATTATGTCAGAGTAACATCGTTAGATTATGGCAGGTTGAATATTGAGAGTCGACATTTACAGGGAAGGTTTGGATGTGTTGAATGCTAAAGGTTTAAGTGAGCACATTTACCTGTTAATATCCCATGTGTATATACTGCCATCAAACCCAGATGTTAACAAAAGACTGTGATCAGCATCATACTCAATATTTTTTACCCAGTTGGAATGGCCACGCAGCGTTCGGATCTCATGTCGCAAGAAACGGACATCCCATAAAGAAACGGTTGTGTCATCAGAACAAGTGGCAAAAACCCGAGAATCGAGAAATCTTGAAGAAAAAAAGAAAAAGAAAATATAAAAACAAGACAAGAAATACAGATATCAATTCCTTTAGTTATTTCTATAAAGAACAGTATTCACAACACAGAATTTATTATTGTCAAATGAATGTACTTTAGCTAGATATAAAGTGTTGTGGTATTAAAGCCCAATTTATCGTCACTTCTTATATAAAACCAACATGCAAACTTGATAATGACAATATTAAGGACAAGAATAAGTTATCGCCCTTAGACATTTTTTCTTCTCGAAAAATCAAAAAGCTTCATCTTGAGAAATATTTTATTGAAAACTACAACTTAAGAGATTAATAATACCAAACTGATTTTAGTGTATTCTTAGGTTACCTGTAAGTTACTTATTTATGTATTTGAAAGAATAACAAAATATAACAAGAGATATTAAAATCACATCATTATTAACACAACAGTGTAATTAATCTCTAGTGAAAAGAAACTGATTTCTGCTTCTTTGGTGTTAACAGCTGTACAATTTACGAGGGATGTCCCAAACATAAAGATGGACATAAAAATTGATTAGAATGAAAACATTGTGAAAGCTGTAAACCCGAAGCAACAGGGAGTTTGCCACTCCTTGTAACAGCCAGAACAGCCTTAATATTGAGTGTATACATATATGACATTACAACAAAGATAGCTGCCATCATAAAACAGTGAACAAAAAAGATCTACGTGGAAAAAGATTTTTTTAAAGGCAAAAACGAAACTTTGGATGCCAAAGCAACTAACTGGAAAAAAATGTCCAATCTTACAGTTATTTCTTTTTGACTTTTGGAATAGTAGAGGAGACCTGATAGGCACTTTCTGGAGCATATGATTAAAAAGGTGCTGTGGCCTGAGTGTATCACTCTGGAGACTAATAGTGATTTCATAACCTGGAAACAGCCATCAAATTCTAAAATTCAGTAGTTGGCAAAGAAATTGATGGTAATTGTGATTTGTGATGTAAAAGGTGAGTCCTCATGGACTAGTTGCCATTGTCAGATACTGTCAAACACTGGACAGACTGAGGGATGTTGTGTAAATCCTATTGTATGACAATCCCATCCCACACGCAGCCAACCTAACAAAAACAAAAAAAAAGAATCGCTCCACCAATATGGCTGAGATACACACTGTCTCAAAACCTTCATATGATCATCTATTTGACTCCATTAAATGACATATGTTTATGGCCACATCCCATTGACACACTGGTTCTCATCCAAAGTTAAGCAACCTTTAGCCTGATCAGCACTTAGACTGATGTACTTGGATGTAGATGTGATAGATAATGGCACAGAATCAGAAATTGGTTAACCCTGTTCAAAGATGAATAAACCCAAACTAATACAGTTACTAATACATATACATTTTTTAAAACTATTTACAGCACGAAACTAATGACCAAAGCCACTGCTAAATCAAAAAGAAACAAGCTTACATCACGCATGGCACCTAAGGAAAAAGGAAATGACATTTTTTATCCAAGAGATGGTTGGTTCCATACAAATCACATTACTACAGAGGTGCAAGCATCGATGTATCTGCTTAATGCCAGATTAGACAATGAGGCTATTTATACAGTTGTACACTAACAAGATAAGTGCATCGATTTCAGTGGAAAAGTAGTATAATAGTGATTATTTACATTGTAATAAACATGTTCAGTTAGTAAATTCTATCTTAATCTTTGGACATCTCTCATATTTTAGTGTATTAAATGCATTTTTGGACAGGGCTTTTTTTCTTCAAGAGGAAAATGAAAGTTAAACTTGTGCTTTATTTACTAAAATGTTAGACAAAATAAAACACTATTTTTTTTCACAATTCTCACACATTTTGAAAATGAAAATTGATTTAAATAAACAATTATTATTCATTCATATAAGATGCTTTTCTTTTGCTGCAGTTAATATATAAAAAAAATAAAAAAAGGCACAAGAGGGTTTTGAAACATTTTCCCTATATCTTGTATCTTTGGTGTCACAAGGAGTTTTGTTGAACTCACTCACCTGAACCCCACACATAATAACCATGGAAGTTGCAGTCTGAGGAGTTAGTTAGGTGGCCAAATGTAAGGGGTGATGTGGTCGCAGAAATTGTATGACAGCCATAAGTGGGATCTCCTGCATGGTGCAGAGTCCTGTTGCCAGACATAGAGACTTCTAGTAACCACCCTCTTGACTCTGGGCAGCACTAACTCCTCAAGGCCCTTGATGTAGGCCTCCAATGTCCAGTCTGAGGCCCTGTGGAAAGATGAATGGAGGCATAACATCACCATCACTAGTGATCACTCCATACACCTTTGTAATCACTATTAAACTCACCCAACTCTTTCCGAAACCTCTGCACTGTCCTCAGATTGACAACCAAACACTCTGAAATCTTTGTATTGGAGCTTCTGGTGCAAATGCAAAGCAGTACAGCATGCCACTTTCAAATTTCTGGCAGAGTGAATTGTGTAATGGTGCTCTTTTTCTCATTGATGGTGCCCGACTGACCCTACTATAGTGTGCAGTTGACAAAATCAAAAACAAACAACGCACATGTGCGAAATTAATATAAAATGGCGACAATCTACCCATCACACACCCTGTGTGTGTGTGTGTGTGTGTGTGTGTGTGTGTGTGTGTGTGTATGTATGTGAATATATATATATATATATATTTTCCAGCATGTTTGGTTGAATAATCTAGACATATTATGTTTATTATTTTTATTTTAATGCTCTCAAATCTACAGATAAATTTCTTAATGTTATTAAACTCATTAAAGAAGGCACCATAGTTTTTTTGTTTTTTTTATTTCATTTATTTTCGCCAAGTACTTTCAATCTCATTCAAGATCATCCTCAGGGGGTGAATTGCTAAGATAAAAAAATTAATGTAATTGATAGTTGTGATGTTTTTCATAAATGCGCATGAAACACACTATGTTAAGTCAAAAATTAACATTATCTAAGGGAGGTAACTTAAGTTATATTTGTTTTGTAATGTTGGACGGCTTTGCTATAAGTGTAAGTTCGTTATAACTTCCAAAAATGCTTTATATTCGAATTGTAAATTTTAGAGGATTAAAATAAAAATATAGACATGTCTAGATCTAGATTATTCAACAACCAGATATGCTTGAATGAAGATATGCTATTATATATATATATATATATATATGTATATATATAAGTAAAAATACATAGTACAACTCAAAGTTTCATGGTACTAATGCAATCATCATAGGGTACTATGTATTTTTTACTAATATATACTTAATAAATCTTGTTTAACACTGAACACTGTTTTTCTTACACCAAAGGGGATATATATATATATATATATATATACATACACACACATACATACACACACAGGTGGATGAGGTTATTATGTAGAACCCATTTAAACACACACACACACACGAACCTACCAGACTCTATCCGAAACATACTTGTAGAAAACACAAACATAACTTGTTTCCTGTTAACATACTTATATCTATCATGACAAAAACAAACAAGAAAAAATTCTGATGACTTCTACCATGTGTGACTTCAGATTTCAATTTTACTTACCAAATCAAATACTGCTGATGTCACTCAACTGACAACTATTTATACACCCTGGCCCTCAAGCCAACAAGAAATGGCAGGAGATGATATCATACTAGTAATAAATCCAACAAGGATTTGTATTTCTCATGTAATTAGTTTACAATTATTATTAAAAATAAATACACATCGGATTAACTTCAAGTTTTAATCCGATAATGATCTTGGAGTCAGGCACAGATTTGCAGAAACATTACCACCAACCCAAACTGTTCTTGTAAAATATTTTTAATTTATTTAAAGTGGTTTTTGTCAGTAAGTAAGAATTCTAAATCCAAGATTTTGAATATTTTTGGAGCTTGTAAAATATTTCTTTCTTTCTTTCTTTTATAACCCTACCCCAGGTTAGGATATGTATAGTGAAGATGAACCCACAATAAATCTGCAACATCTGACTTGGTGAGGTTTCTTTCTCATCCTTCTGTTCTTGGATCTTTCATATTTTTACATTTTCCATTCGTTTGTCCCCACTTAGCATCTTCCTCAAACAAGAGAAGTTAATTCGTTGAATTATATCAGAAGACAGGTTCCAGCACATCTGGACCATTGCAAATATTCTTTAAGATATCACATATACAGAGATAAGTGACACATGATGATTACTTTGGCTTCTTTTTGCACCAAGGGCTTAAAACTTTTTATGATGAAAATATTTACAAAGAATTAAATATGATATTCATCAAATTAAAAACTGATTATGCTTCAAGATCAACTGTAAAAATCTTGATGATGAGATCAAATCTTTAACAAAATGGCTTTACCTGACGCAGTTGACACAGTCTGTGTGGGCCTTGGATTTGTGCCCGACCAATCTTGCATTGAAAGGATCAAACAGCAAAATACTTTGACGCTCACAGGCAGCCACGAGCATTGACCTGAAAAAGAGAAAGATTTAAGCATTCAATATGTTAAGAGGCTTGTATGGGTTCGATCTATATTGTAGCCAACAATCAAATGGTCTCTTAAAAAAATAATATAGATATATTAACAAATATACATTTCTTTTTTCCTCACCAGTAGCACAAAATGCAATCTTCAGGTGCTGAGTAGAGACTATACTCTACTCTGTGTTGCCGGCAGGAAAAAAAAAATGTATATTTGTTAATATATACTTAAGAGCCCTGTTATATTACACTGAGCACAATTTTTTTATCAACACCAGTACTCAAATATGTTTGAAAAACTTTCATTAAATATGGTAGACAAGGATGATATTTTTTTTAGTTTTTTATGTATATATATATATATATATATATATATATATATATATGTATGTATACCCAATTTTTGGCTAAAAAACGAGCATACCCTGATGAGAAAGGACCCAAAAAAATAATAAAAACAAAGTTTTATTGTAAAAAGTTTATGTTATTAATAAGAGGAGAGACCTAAGTACTTTTTAATTATTATTTAAAATTTTCAATTCCTATTTAGCACATTTGAAATTTTGCTTAAAAATAAATTTTTTTTTTTAGTTCAGTGGTCACCTAATAGTTTTTGTTAGTGCCTTTTTCAGTTGAAAAAAATTTAATGTAGAAATTCTTGTAAAAATCAAATAATTGTTAGATTGTAATGAAACTTTCAGAACTTATTCAAAAATTAATAATATTTAGAAATGTTTGTTCTTTAGAAAGTTATGGTAAAAAATTTCTTTTTTTTTTTTACATCTGTTACACCCACTTAAATTGAAGCTTATAACTCATGAATTTTTTAAAATATTATATATATAGTATATATATATATATAATATATATATATAATATATATATATATAGTATATATATATATATATATATAGTATATATATATATATAGTATATATATATATATATATATATATATATATATATAGTATATATATATATATATATATATATATATATATATATATATAGTATATATATATATATATATATATATATATATATATATAGTATATATATATATAGTATGTATATATATAGTATAGATATATATATATATAATATATATATATATATATATATATATATATATATATATATATAGTATATATATATATATATATATATATATATAGTATATATATATATATATATATATATATATATATATATATATATATATATATATATATACATATATATATATATATATATATATATATATATATATTATATATATACGTATATATATGGTATGATTATATATATATACGTATATATATAGTATGATTATATATATATACGTATATATATAGTATGATTATATATATATACGTATATATATATATATATATACGTATATATATATATATATATAGTATATATATATATATATACGTATATATATAGTATGATTATATATATATATATATATATATATATATATATACGTATATATATATATATTATATATATATATACGTATATATATATATATATATATATATATATATATATATATATATATATATATCTCAGCATTTCTCCTTGGTACATAATCATAACCAGCATTCACATTTATATCTCCCATTAAATATATATAATTCCATCAATAAAAACCCTTCTTTTTTCCCCCGAACAAGTCCTTCCAGAGGGCAAAACATGTTACACAAAACTTTTCCCACTTTGTCATTCAATTACCCAACATTGTTCTTGTATATAGAACTTTATGCATCATATTCTCATATATATCTACAAGTTATGTAAACAGGTTCCAATCACTGTGGAAAGGATCGTCTCCCTCCTCAAATTTATAAACAAACTGTACAGATGCATGCTAAGATTATTTTCTAGCCACTTCTGTCTCATCTGCCATATTTTGCTTCTTTCTTGTCAGAACACTGTCATCACTTGTCTGTATCCTTCTTATGTGTTAACATCATGTATAGTTTGTGTACTTTTTTTTTTTTTTTACCCAAGTTATTGTTTCTTTGCACATATTGTTTGCTTCATATTCTTTTTACCCTGTTCTTTTCTTTCTTTTCTTATTGTAAACTTTGTTAATTCTTTTTGTTTGGCATTTTCGCCAATTATACTATATATGGAAAATCTATATTCAACTCCTCATCATCATCAGTCCATTGACAGTTTCAATAGTCATGTGCAACCTAAGGACAGAAGAAACAGATAACCTCCTCCAGGATGAGCTATTGAAGGTGACTCTCAAGTGTCCTCGCATTGTCATGTCCATTCATGCTTGTGTCTGCCTTCAACACTGGCTTTCAGGATGATCTTACAGAGGTTGTTAAGCCATTTGATATTGCCAAACCATTTCTTTTGACACTTAATAGTGGCAAGAATAGGTTCCTGTCAGTCCATGAGACTTTTGACCTTGCTCCGTACATAGTCATTATTTCTGTACCTCACAGTAGATGTGGAGGAGCTTTCTGAAGCATTTGTTCTTCAACACCTGGATTTGTTTGCCTGCCTCAACCAGGAGTGTCCAAGTCTCTCACCCATATTCAAATAGATTCACAAAAAAATAAAAGTGAACACTTGTCTCACTGCTGAGACTGGCCCTTCCTTTGCAAATTATTTTTTCCAAAATACATACTTGCAAAATCCATAGAGAGAAAGTAAAATAAACACACATAAAGTGAGGAAGAGACAAAAGCAAGAAGAGCATGTGACAAAAAAGCTGAAAATTCTTTCCAAGTAAGCAGCTGAGATAATGATACAATAATGAAATAGAAAAGTTATTTTGAGGCTTCACTCTTAGCAGAGGTAAAAATAACATTAAACAGATTGAAATCTGAATGGCTATTTTCAGGTAGACATTCCTGTCAATTGCAGTTTGAGAGATAAGGCATTTAATTCAGATTATTATCCTCATCTTTGTTGTTTCTGTAGGAGATAGGGAGGTAGCATGGAATCAGTTGTGGTATAATTCAAATCTCCATTTTATGTCTAAGATAGTAATCTGCCTTCTATTCATAATAATGTTCATAATTATGTACACTAACAAATATAAAAAATGCCAAGACAGAATAAATTGAAATGGCATAGAATATAAAAAAATGGATGATTATTGGATAAAACATTGGCACAAGGCCAAATTTACAGGGCACCCAAATATGAATAAATTCAGCTCTTTGATAGGTACATTTTTTAGGCTTGGAATGTTTTGTCTGTGGAGAAATAGGCTGTAGGGTTGAAAATCATCACCTACAAGGCCACAGCAATGATTTTAAACTGTCAGGGTTGGAAAGTGAGGACTGGGCAGCTGAAGGAAAAAGGAAGGCAATGCTAAGTATATTAATGTAAAGAAATGAAAAGGAGAAGAGAGTGAGAGAAAAGAAGGAGAGAGAGAAAAAGATAAAAGGAAAAACAAGAGAAAAGAAAGTTATCAGTATAGAAAGTCTATTTCTATCTACTTAGGGGATAAATGCAACTAGCATGATCTTAGCTTTGGCTTCATTTAAACCAACAATTACCAACATAAAAAAAATGTATCATATTTTCATAGACAAATAAATATAACAAATATGGCCTTTTTCCATTTTGTTTATTATTTCTATTTCCTCTTTGCCTTTGATAAACAAATGATAAAAAAGAAAAAAAAATCTATAAAAAACAGATGACAATTGCTTTATAGAAAATTATGTATTGCAATAATTGTTATGTAATTGTTTTAGAAAATAAAATTTCAGTTGAAAAAATATTAATAAGTATTTAAACATTGTGGGCTATTGCTTCTGTTATACTCTACTTCAAATTTAATCTCTTTCTGATTCATTTCTGTGTATCAGCCAGATGTGAATGCTAAGAAAGCAAAATAAAAAACAAAAAAGTTATCCTCTGTACAGGGGTTCCAAGTATCACATCCAGCTCACAAAACAAATTCCCCTAAATAAAATAAAAATTATTAACTACATAAAGAGCCAACCATGGATGTTCCAAGGAGTTCATGATCCACCACATGTGTTTTAAGAACGCTTCTCATAACAACTGAAACAGAATCATGGTAAAGGTGCAAGCATCAACAAATCCGCCGCCCCAAGTAACCTTGGTCAACCAGCCCAACACACGCATTAACTCCAGGCTGCACCAACTCTACCTTTCCTCCAAATCACTCCCCTTAGCCACAAAGAGACATTCTGCTAGCATCCTCTCTATTGGCAATACAAAGAAGTTTTTTATTAACAATTCTTGTCTTCTTTTCACCTCACTGGTGGTACCTATTATCTCGTTGATTCTCTTGTACTACCATATGTTTATAACACTCTTAAGAAATTGATTATACCATACACCTGATATTTCTCAATGCTTAATATCAGATATTTCCATTTTAAATTTTGGGATGAGGAGTTATCATTGTTTATTTGATTTGTTGTCAGACTATAAAAAAGACAAGCTATCCCTAGACAGAGACAGCAGAATGATAACAATCTAACAAAAAGTTTAATTCAAAATTCCTTGAAGAAGGCTGGAAGGTATAACAGCTGAAATGTCATGATTTTAGCAACAAAGACATTAAGAAAGGGTTAGATAATTTTTGTTTCCAAAATCTAGCTTACATATCTATAAGTCTACCATTTGTCCAGGCTTAGAATATTGCTGCCACATATGGACTGGTGACCCTGCTATTTACCTTGAGCTCCTTGATAAAATCCAAACAAGAATCAGCAATATTATTGGTCCTGATCTGGTGGCTCGGCTTCAGTCACTTTCCTATTACAGGAAAGATGCTCTATGTGCCATTTTTTATAAATACTTTCATGGTAATTGTTTGGATGAGCTCTTCGCTATGGTACCAAGACTTCCAAATTTTAAGTGCAGTACTAGACTGGTGTCTAGATCATCAATTTACAGTTGATCTGGTTAGATATAAATGTAAATTCTATGCTAACAGTTTCTTTTCTCACACTTTTCACTTATAGAACTCCCTTCCA